GGGAGCAATGATACGGATGCTATATTGGGAAGCAAGGAGGACAAACCCTGCCATTGAGAGAGTAAACTAGCCAAAGCTAGAGGTGGTAGGGATAATTTTTCTGAGAAGAGATTGACAGTATAAGAGAGTTGCTGTTTATGAATGGAACATAGTGGAAGAATTTGGGAAGCAGGGAGAAGTGGAGAACAGGATCAGAGGCAAGCCAATAGGTTGGGCAGATGACAGGGGGAAGGATCTCATGTTTTATACTAGTATATTGGCTAATAAAAATAGAAAACAAAGTAAATTAGGATCTGGCTGTGTCTTTGTGGAGGTTTGCCAATGGCCCTAACAGACTGAAGATTGGATCACACAGTTTGAAGTGTCAGGCCAGCAGCTATGGTTCCACTGTATGGAGGACTCCTGGGGGAGGCTGGGCCTAGGGGAGGTAGCTCCAATGGTTGGAATAAGAGTAGCACTTTCCTAAATAAGAATATATAGAGCAAGCTAAGAGCATAATAATAATACCTTTTAGGACATTATGGCAATTAAATGAGGCAATATACATAAAGCACATAACACTGGCCTACTATAAAAGCAGTTTATAAATTTTAGTTGTATTGTGATTGTTATTAGATGTTAGGTTTGTTAAATGCATTTTTTTTTTCTTCTTTATATCGATCTGATGAAACCAAAGGCATTAAGGATTGTGGGGTTTTCTCCCTTTAAATCAGTGGTTCTCAACCTGTGGGTCGCGACCCCTTTGGCGGTCGAATGATCCTTTCACAGAGGTCGCCTAAGACCATCCTGCATATCAGATATTTACATGACGATTCATAACAGTAGCAACATTACAGTTATGAAGTAACAACGAAAATAATTTTATGGTTGGGTCACAACATGAGGAACTGTATTTAAAGGGTCAGAGGTTGAGAACCACTGCAATTCTTTATTTCTGGTGATGTAATCAATTTTGTTGAATTGTGGTTGGCATTTGAGTGAAAATAGCACCAACTATACGAATTAGATACATTTATTCAGGAGTTTATGATTATTGCAGAAATGCAAGCAAGTAGGGGGAAATAAAGATGTTTACGATTAAATCTCAATGAGAGGCACTGTAAGACATGGAAGAAAGGTAACTGCGTAGAGGAACCAGTTTTGGCTAGAGGAGCAAAGACAATGGTCTAGTGACTAGACCAGTGATGGCGAACCTATGACACGCGTGTCAGAAGTGACATGCGAACTCATTTTTTTGGTTGATTTTTCTTTGTTAAATGGCATTTAAATATATAAAACAAATATCAAAAATGTAAATCTTTGTTTTACTATGGTTGCAAATATCAAAAAATTTCTATATGTGACACGGCACCAGAGTTAAGTTAGGGTTTTTCAAAATCTGACACACCGAGCTCAAAAGGTTCACCATCACTGGACTAGACTCTAGTCCTAGCTCTGCCTTTACCTGATTGCATAACTTAGCCAGGTTATTGACTTAGTTTCCTTAATAGTGTAGGCAGAAGTTTATAGTTCATATGGAACATTTGGGGTCTTAGTTGGGTTTAAATTATTATGTCATCATCTAGTTATTTTCTGACCCAGAATTAGGATAATACTAACTTCAAATTATTGCTGTAAACTATAATGAATTATAAATAAATATTTTATAAATATGAGTATATGTATTTATAAATATAAACATAAATATATATATAACTAGCACTGTGCCTGGCCTAGTACTTATAAAGCAGGTATCCTAACCTCATTAACCCTTAATTTCTTACCTGTAAAATGGGGATTTGAAAATATCATGAGATATGACCAGAGAATTCAGAGAAAAGGAAATGCAAATGGCCTATAAACATGTGAAAAGATGTACAGCTTTGCTCATAAGAGAAATGTAAATTAAAACTATACTGAGATATCAGATAGTAAAAAATCCAAATGTTTGACAGTTGTGGTGAATTATGAGGAATGGGTACTTACACAACCCCTGTAGAGGTAAATATAATAGTATCCAGCAAAATTACATATCCATTTACTCTTAGACCTAACAGTCCCAATTCTAGGAATCTATCCCAGATATATACTGACAAAAATCTGCCAGTTTTTATAATAGGAAAATGATGTACTAACCCAAATATCTTTCAGTAAGGGCATAGTGAATAAACAAAAACGATTGAGTGGTATTTCTGTTGATCTCTAGTATATGTAAATATGTGTATGTGAATATATATGTGCTTAAAGCACGGAATAGGACAGTATGTAGTAGGCTGCCTTTTATCTAAAAAAAAGGAAAAGTATATGTTTGTTTTTAAAAACATTGTGGAATGACATTCCAGAACTAATAAATGTGGTTACCTTTGGGGGAGGGAGGGAACCAGAGTAGAGGCAACACAGTTGAGATTGTTAAGTAGGTTTGTCTGAATGTACCTTGTTTTGTAAATTAGACTTTGAAACCATATTAATGTCTTACATAATTATAAAGCAAAATTAAAAATGAAATCAGAACAAAACAAGAGACAATTCTAAATTTTAAAGCAAAATGAAACAAAGGTCTGTTGATATGTTGAGTAGGTGGTTTAATCACAGAAAGGAATTTTTAAAAATATATCCTTACTGGAATATATTCTAAAACCTAAAAACATAAATTGTTTTTAATGATTTTGTTGTTAGTAAAATGCTGATTTTCCTACTCTGAAACTATATGTAGCTTATATTTTTTACTAGGATTATGTAAATGTTATTAGAAACCATATTTTTTATTGAAAATAGATAAAAATAGTAAAAACCACAATTTTAGAGAAAATAGATAAAAATACAAAACAAATTAAGTAAAAAAACCCACAATTCTAAGTTTGAATTGGAAATAGCAACGTGAAATCCTGATGTAAGTTCTTTGAAAAAGCTGCAGACACAGTGACTAAACTTTACTACCAGGTTGTGTACTCTACATACCATTAAAAACAATCAGGGCTTCTTGGAGAAATGGCCAATAACAAGTACAGGACAAGAACATCTTGTCAAAGAAATCAAGGAAAGTATTTGAAGAATTCTGGGGATAAATCAAATAAGAATGGCCTCTCATTAACCAAAGGTAGGACTGTTTGAAAAGAAAAATAACTACAGTGGATTAAAACTCATGAAATATGTTAAAATCTATGTTTATAATGTGAAATAAAAGCTCAGTTGCAGAAAGAGGAATAAAGTAAAAAACATCTAATTCAATTAAGATAATTTATAAGATGGTTAAAAAATTTAAGGTACTATTCAAGTAAACTTTGTAGCAGTGTTTGAAAGTATCCTATATAATAAAGGTAATATGCAAATTAACCCTCACACCAGGGTTCCTCAAACTTTTTAAACGGGGCCAGTTCACTGATCCTCAGACCGTTGGAGGGCTGGACTATAGTTAAAAAAAACAACTATGAACAAATTCCTATGCACACTGCACATATCTTATTTTGAACTAAAAACACAAAACGGGAACAAATACAATATTTGTATTTGCATGTGGCCCACGGGCCGTAGTTTGAAGACCCCTGCCTCACACCATCACAAGATGGCTGCCTACAGCCAGGCCAGCAGGGGGGTTAGTGAGGGACAACCAAATGGCTCAACAGCAGGCTGTGTGGGGCGACTAGGCCGGCAGGGGGGTTAGTGAGGGACGACCAAATGACTGAATAAGCAGGCTGTGTGGGGTGACCAGGCCAGCAGGGGTGGGGGGGCATGAGGGGTGACCAGGCTAGCAAGGTGGGGAAGTTGGGGGCAACCAGCCCAACAGAGGGTGCAGTTGGGGGCGACCAGGCCGGCAGAGGGGAGCAGTTGGGGGTGACCAGGCTGGCAGGGGGGTAGTTAGGGGCAACCAGGCCAGCGGGGAGTGCACATGGGGGTGACCACGCCAGCAGGAGGGGCAGTTAGGGGCGAATCAGGCTGGGAGGGGCGGGCAGTTAGGGGTGACCAGGCAGGTAGTCTGGTAGGCGATTAGGAGCCAGTGGTCCAGGATTGTGAAAGGATGTCTGACTGCCAGTTTAGGCCTGATCTTGGAGAGGGTGCAGGCTGGGCTGAGGGAAACACCCCCCATGCACAAATTTTGTGCACCGGGCCTCTAGTCTACAAAAGCTCAGTGACTGAACAGCAGAACAACCAGAACAACTGGTTGACCAGTTGCTATGATGTGCACTGACCACCAGGGGTCATGTGCTCACCACTCAGCTGATTCCCACAGGCCACGCCCCCCCACCAGTGCATGAATCTGTGCACTGGACCTCAAGTAAAATTATAAAAGAAATGGTTTAGGTTAAAATGATCTCATAGGTCAGTAATGGCGAACCTTTTGAGCTCGGCGTGTCAGCATTTTGAAAAACCCTAACTTTGGTGCCGTGTCACATATAGAAATTTTTTGATATTTACAACCATAATAAAACAAAGACTTATATTTTTGATATTTGTTATATTTAAATGCCATTTAACAAAGAAAAATCAACCAAAAAAATGAGTTCGCGTGTCACCTCTGACACGTGTGTCACCTCTGACATGCGTGTCATAGGTTCGCCATCACTGTCATAGGTTTTTTTCAACTTTAACTTTTTAAATTTAAAATTTGCATCTGTTTTGTCACTACTTCCTTTTTTCTTATTCCTTTATACAGTATAATTATTAGACTTAGCTCTATTTGACTTTATATATGTAATGTTTCTCTTAAAATTGGTTGATAGTTTTACTAAAAGATGTTAAAATATCGGGAAAAAGCCAAATGTTAATTATATAGAGCACAAATCAGTAAACCATTTCTATAACAGAGCAGATAGTAGAAATTTTAGGCTTTGCTGGCCATGCTATCTCTGTCACAATGACTCGATTCTGCCATTGCAGTGTGAAAGCAGCCAGAGGCAGTCTGTAAATGGATACGTTTATCAGATGTACTCTGATAAAACTTTATTTACAAAAATAGGCAGTAGGCTGTGATAAAGAATATGAGGTTTTTGTTAATTGTTAACCTTTTATGTCTTTCTTTCTAGGTATAAGGGACCACTGTTAGAAGAGCAAGCCCTTACCAAGGCAGCTGAGGGTGGACTATCTTCACCTGAATTTTCAGAGCTCTGTGTTTGGTTAGGCTCTCAAATAAAATCATTATGCAACTTGGAAGAAAGTATCACTTCCGCTGGTATTGCCATTGTGTTTTATTTACTTTTTTGTTTAATAGTAAAATGAAATGATAGCTTATGATTTACAGTTTTATTTAAAATGTACTAGAAAAAGAAAAATCTATACAAAGAAAAATCATTGATATTAAGAACTTCAATATATTGTATTAAATATCTTTGCATTAAATGCTATATTAATCCAAAATTCATTCTTAAAATTTGTATAAGATTACAAACAAGACAGTTTTTCTGCTGTCTTAACCTTAGTATTTTTAAGAAAAAGTAAACTCTGAATTTGGTTATTTAAGAAGTTTAATATTTGAATCCTGCTTATTTTGGATTAAGATGGGTTTTTTTTTTTTAAGTACATGTAATCCCTAATTTAAGTTGTATTACAAAGCCTATAATTCAGGACATGGATTCACATAGGAATGATCTTATAAAATATTCCTGTACTTGTTCATAAAGTTTAATGCATTGCTGTCTTGGTAACTGGAGTCATTGTGGGTCTTTAGTAGAATTTCAGATGGTGTAATAAAATGAAAAAATAAATTATTGGGCATTTGCTAGGGGATAAAGTAGACTTCACTTTTGAAGCTGTCTTTAAATTTTTTTTTTTCTTGCCATATCTAATAGAATTCCCTCGAAACTAAGTAAGATAAGCTAAATTCAAAATACATGACACAGGCTCCCGTATAATTAGGTTATGAAAGAAAGATAAGCAATGAGGCTTAATTAGATGACTGCATTTGTGATCTGAATCCATAGAAATATCATTTGCTCTGAAGCCAGTTAATAATTATAGTCATAATAATGTTTTTAATATTTTTATTACTCATACAAAAATATTCCCATTTTATCTGCTTTATGAAACATATATTGGAAAATACTAATTAAATTTAAATATAAAAATATTTATAATCATAATTACATATTTATATTCTTAAATTGATACTTATGTTTCTGAATTTAAGTGTGACTTTCTAAATGTAGAAATTATTTGGTTACCTTTACCTAAGCTTTGGGGTCACACATGTAAGAATTAAATGTCAAAAGGAAAATTTAGAATTGAATGTGAACTTGTAGATTTTATAGTATCAGATTATATGGTAAATACTCAGTAAATGTTTTGTGATTTTTCTTTTTTAAAGGGAGAGATGATCTAGAAAGCTTCCAGCTTGAGATAAGTGGTTTTTTAAAAGAAATGGCATGTCCATATTCTGTCCTCATATCAGGAGATATTAAAGAGCGTTTAAAAAAGAAGGATGACTGCTTGAAACTTCTATGTAAGTTCTTTCTTTGAACATTTAAATGCATGTATTTGATCCTTGTTTTAAATTTTTAAGTCAAAATTTATGAAATTTTATTAATGAAGCATTAGATATCTTATATATTTAAAAGATTTTAATATTTAACTTAAAATATGAAGATGACTCGGATATTTATATAAAGGTAGTATAAATTCTAATGAATTCTACTAGTGTAAGATTTCTAACACTTAAGATTTATTTGACTTGTTTGTGATTTATGTAGTATTTTAATAATTTTTTCCTTCACTTAATGAATCTCCTAGCATTTGTGACTAGGTGGCTAAAACTGGTCATCTCTAAAGTTCTATCCTATACTAATAAAAGATAAACATGCAAATTGACCATACTTTCGCTATGCCTTAAGCCATGCCCACCAGCCAATCAGAGCAACTATATGCAAATTAACCCAACAAGGATGGCGGCCGGCAGCCACAGAGCTGGAGCGAGCAGGAGGCTTGCTTGCTCCAATGATGGAGGAAGCGGATGGGAGCTTACGTCGCCGGGGGGCTTGGCTAGCCTGAAAACGGCCCTCAGCCCCTCACCCAGACTGCCTAGGCATCCCAGTAGGGACCCCCCATTCTAAAGGGGGTGTGGCCAGCCTGAAAACAGCCATCAGCCCCTCATCCAGGCTGGCCAAACTTCCATGGGGTGAGGGTCCCCACTGGGGTGGACATCCTCCGAGGGGTCCCACACTTCAAGAGGGCATAGGCCAGGCTGAGAGACCCCCCGAGTGCACAAATTTTTGTGAACCGGGCCTCTAGTTTAATCATAAAATTCTTTGAAACTAGGCTACTAAGCAGATTATTAGATCTTGCTTTAGTGATAGTCTTTGAGTTATAGTGGTAGATTCAGAAATATGTGTTGATCATTTACTATTGTACCAGAAACTACTCTAGGCATTAGGGGTATATCAATTTAAAAAAAATTGCACCCTTGGACCACAAGAGTTCTAGTGAGTGTGGCCTGTTTTTCATTTTTTAAAATTTGTATTTATTGATTTAGAGAAAGAATAAGAGGGAGAGGGAAGAAAGAGAGAGGTATCAATTTGTTGTTCTACTTATTTACACATTCTTTGGTTAATTCTTGTATGTGCCTTGACTGGGGATTGAACCCACAGCCTTGGAATATCAGCACGATGCTCTAATCCAGTGGTTCTCAACCTGTGGGTCGCGACCCCTTTGGCAGTCAAACGACCCTTTCACAGGGGTCGCCTAAGACCATCCTGCATATCAGATATTTACATGACGATTCATAACAGTAGCAACATTATAATTATGAAGTAGCAACGAAAATAATTTTATGGTTGGGTCACAACATGAGGAACTGTATTTAAAGGGCCAGAAGGTTGAGAACCACTGCTAATCAATTGAGCTATCTGGCCTGGGCAGGTGTGGCCTGTTTTCATCAGGGGTTAATTTGGAGTAAAATTACCCTATATCCAAACAACCATCATTAATAAAAATCCATTTATTTGCACTGGGTCCCTTCAAAACTTTTTTTAATTTTATGCTCTTTTGAAAGTTCTGCAAACAATGACCATTTGAAAGAATTTTTCTAACATCTGTTATTGAAGATTTCTGTTGTTTTAGGTTGTACCATTTATAAAAAGATCCATGTGATGATATATTCCTTGTAGGCTCTAGTGTTAGTAATGTTTGTTGCACTAGAGCAGGAATTGTGTGTGTTTAACTAGTGATGATGCTAGAAGTGTTGACAGTTGAATTACCTTGTGTGTTGGGTGGAATAAATATTATGTCTTCCCCCTTATTTCTTATACTATTTTCCCATCTTCCTTCCATTCAGTGTGAGTCACTGACTTAATGTACTATTGTTATTAATGGGGGGGGGGGGGTCATAGTATCCCTTAGGTATATTGGAATAGAAAGGAAGCCAAGAAGCATGGCCTAGGGCAGTGATTGGCAAACTCATTAGTCACCAGAGCCAAATATCAATAGTACAATGATTGAAATTTCTTTTGAGACCCAAATTTTTTAAATTTAAACTATATAGGTAGGTACATTGTTATTAACTTAATTAGGGTACTCTTGAGCTGGCCTTTGCTAAAAACATCCTCAATCTGATTGAGGTACTTTCGCTGAGGTCGACCCCTTCCAACTCTCCCATCCACACTCCTCTTGTAGCTAGTCTCACTCAACTCGTGCGTGCCTCTCCCGTGCTGCGTATCCCGCGGCCCCCCTGTGCCGCGTCTGACCGACACCCCCCACTTCTTCTAACGCCACTTCAAAATAGACTCGCCCGGGCCAAAAACCGACTTCTACACATGGGCTGCGATTGGCACGTGGTATTTTGTGGAAGAGCCACACGCAAGGGGCCAAAGAGCCGCATGTGGCTTGCGACCCGCGGTTTGCCAACCACTGGCCTAGAGGAACTTGCATGTTCTTTATCCCAGTCATTGAGAACTATGGAATTCATCATGTTTCCCTTTTTGCCTTAACTGTGAAGAAGCTCAGCAATAGGTTTCTTCAATAGGTAAGATAGGCTTCTGGTGCAAGTAATAGTAAAGAGGAGATAGAGGAGAAGTTGGTGTAGCTTTTCTGATTATGAAAATACATGGTTGAGGGTGGGGTAAGTTGGACAGTTGGTGTTAAAGGGGTACAGAGTTTTATTTTTTTTCAATTAAATCTTTATTGTTCAGATTATTACATTAGTTACTCTTTTTCCCCCCATAGCTTTCCTCCACCCAGTTCCCACCTCACCGTCTGCCCTTACCCCTCCCACTGTCCTCATCCCTCTGACTAAGATTGTTGTCCAGTCTATTCCTGCACCCTCAAACCCTTGCCCCCTAAGAATTATCAGTCCACTCCCTTTCTATGCCTTTGGTTCTATTATATTCACCAGTTTACTCTGTTCATCAGATTTTTTATTCACTTGATTTTTAGATTCACTTGTTGATAGATATGTATTTGCTGTTCATAATTTTTATCTTGACC